AGACACTTGTCCTGTTCCTGTACTTTCTTCCTGCCTAACTGGGGACACAGCACTGGCCCCACCACCACAGGCAGGTCTCAGCTCACACCTGAGGGAACCAGGGCCAGCACAAGAACAAAGCTGACCACAGTGGTTTTCCCTGCTGCTGAACAGCTGCAGACAGGACTCTGAGCTAGACAGATGCTCCACTGGACCCGAGTATCTTCCTGACTCACGTGAAGTTAGCTGCTGCTAAGTCCAGCACAGCAATGGTAATTGCTCAAACACTTTTGGAGCACATGGAATTCTAGCACCTATCAATCTCCTCGGAAGCATCTTAGTGTGCCAGCATTGGACACAGCCACTCCTGGGCTGAGAAGTGGGAATGGTGGGGCTCAATCATAGAAAGGAAAGTGAGGTCACCCTTTCTACAATACACACACGAGAACAACTGGTGTGAACCACTTCAGTGCCAGGAACTCCAGGAATCAACTTATTAGATTCAAAGATCCTGTTTAAAAACATAAGATTATCCAATATGAAAAAAACCCAATATTTACTACAGCAGATGAGGACTGTGGTATTACTAAGTCATTTAATTAGGGATATGAGAATCCCTAATAAAGTTTTGTCAAATCACTCAGTGAAAAGTTAAGACACTTCACCAAATATCCATGCTGGCACAAACATGGTACCAAAGAGGTTAATTTAAAAAACAAAATTACCTTTTTGAATTTGTTTGTTTTTTCAAATATACAAGCAGAACCCACTAGGCATTTTGTGTGACCATGTTCTATACCAACTCCTTAATGCAAAACCAGGAACATTCAAACCAGATTTCTGAAAGTGCATCAGCTACTAAATTTTAATAGGTAGATCTAGATAAAGAGACACACAGATAAACCTCAGGATTTAAGAACTACCACACAACTAAAAGCAAAAGCAGCAGCTCTGCCAACACACACAGGCACCTTTTGAAGCCAAGCATATGCCCAAGTTTATGGGCTCTCATGGCAAACGTCTTGGCCCCGTATCAAGTGGAAGTCATTAACTAGAAAGAGACCATTTTGTCTGCATGTCAGACAGACTACAACTACAGATACGTTCTGGAACAATATTTCAGCAGCTATCTTTAATCAGGAGTGTCTTTTATCATGAGAGGGAGATGTCCCCATGATAACAACTCAGTCTTGTGGGGGGTCCTAACTCAGATTCAGAAATTTGGGCCAGAAAGAGCAATGAATATTTTTCTCTCTGTATAATTTAAGTAAATTACATAACTAATATATTTTAAAAATGTGCTTAGCATCAACTACATCCTAGGAAAGCAGCTATTTCCCTAACTGTGTTTAGATGTGGCCTATTGGGTGTTTTTCTTTAGAGGGCATTTGAGGACACCAAGACCTCCCCATGAGGACTCCCTTTACACAATGTTCCCTCTCCAACTGCAGCGCTCAAAGGCGGAGGGAATGTGTTTTTCTTGAGCATCTTAAGCACTATTCTAACAAATCGAGGGGCTACTTAAAAAAACCCCAAACCCAAAGCACCACGCACAAAACCAGACTTTTGGGCTGCGTCAGGAGCTGCTGAGCTGCCCCTGCACCTTCATCCCATGGTTCCCACAGGCATTCCCAGCTCCCCCTGGGCAAGGCAAGGCTGAGATGCGCATCCCTCCCCAGCGGCGCGGGCCACGCCCACCGCGGCATTCCCACCAATCAGAGGGCGCCCGAAGGAACCCTGGAAACAGCCTGGCCAATGGGGGCGCGGGGCGGAGCTCCGGGGGCTCCAGGGAATCCCGGCCGGGATGGGGCACGGCCGGAGCCGGGCAGGGCTCACCTGCAAAGCACCGATGGCAGCGCTCTGGAAGCGCAGATCTGTCTTGAAGTCCTGAGCAATTTCACGCACCAGACGCTGGAAGGGGAGTTTGCGGATCAAAAGTTCGGTGGACTTTTGATAGCGCCTGATTTCACGCAGAGCCACAGTACCCGGCCTGTTGAAATGAAACACAGTGAAAATAAAGAGAATTAGTATTGGAAATAAATTCTGCGTCGCCTTAAAAATATGGGGCCACCCTCCAGACTGAACCAGGCACCATCTGCTTCTGTTTTCCCCAGGAGAGTCCCAGAGTTTACAATACAACATCAATACCTACAACATGGCAAAGGGTCACTGTCTTCTCACCACCAGCCTCTGCCAGCTTCCACTGGCTTCAGCAGGGATCCCTCAGGCAGACTCCCAAGGCCTGACTTCTCCAAGGGAACAGCTGGCCAACAGCTCAGTGCAGATGTGGCAAACCACAGAGCTGCCCTGAGTTCAGCTGCACCAAAGGTATCCCCAAGGGGCCTGACAGGAACCCTGATTTTAAGGGAAAATCTGTTCTTCTTCTCTACTGTCAACATTCACAGAACCAACAAAATGTATAGTCTCTGTTACATTGACAGTCAAAAGTATCCAGTGTATTTCCCCATGTTAGTTTTGGGGTCAGAATGACAAATTCGGAATAGCAACATATGTTTGCAAACATGATGTCCATCTGTGAAACCAATACCACATTTATTTCCGTGGAAGCTTTGTCTTTTCCTGCTTTATTACTTTTCTCCCAGTTGATGAATTCTGCCTCACACCTAGAGCAAAAATCACAGAGTGGGTCAGCTTAGAAGGGACCATAGTGGGTCACCTGGCCCACCCTCCCTGCTCAAGCAGGGTCATCCCAGAGATTGTTTCTCAGGATTGTGTCCAGATGGCTTTTGGATATCTCCAAGGAAGACGACTCCACAACCACTCTGGGCAATCTGTTGCAATGCTCAGTCACCTTCACAGTAAAGCTCTTCCTCATGTTCAGGTGGAATTTCCTGTGCATCAGCTTCTGCCCATTGCCTGGCTCCATCCTCTTCACACTCCTCGATACATCAATAAATCCCCTCGTGGACTTTTAGATTCAAAACCCACTTCATCCCCATCCACGTTTTCCCCAAGGAACACCTACACCCGGCCCAAAACCATCCCCAAGCTGAAGCACGACTGCCGCCTCCCTGGGGAAAGCCAGGACGGGGGTGCCGCGCCCCGCCGGGCCCATCCCAGGGCCGGGATCCGGGACGGGCCGGGAGCGGCGGCGCATCCGCGGGTGCGCGGCTCCCTCTGGCGGCGGCCCCGCGCCCGCCCAGAGCCGCGAGCGGGGCGCGGAGCGCCGCTAACAATAAACTTGGCGGCGCAGCCCTGCTGCGGCCTCCAGATAACCGCGAGTGCGGAATTAGGAAAATTTAAAAGAACCGCCGAGCCGCGTCCGCCGCGGGGGGAGGGGTGCCGATTTTGTAGTCAGCAGCACCGGAACGCCCGGAAAGGAGCTGATGACAAACGCCGGGGGTCGGTGCCGCCCTGGGAATTTCTGGTTATTTTTGCGGAGACCCGCGCTTAGTTGTTTTTTTTTTTGTTTGGTTTTTTTTTTCGTCTTTTTTTTTTTTTTTGGTTATTCTGCCGGCCTCGGAGAGCAGAGCGCGGAGGAGGCGGGGAGAAGCGCCCCCAGCCCCATCGCTCCCGCGGGGTGGTGGGGAAGAAGGAGGGATTTATTTTTTTTTTTGGTGGGGGGGAGGTTGCCCGGTCGCGCCCCGCGGCCGCCTGTGCGCGGCGCTGCGTTACCTGTAGCGGTGCGGCTTCTTCACCCCGCCAGTGGAGGGCGCGCTCTTGCGGGCGGCTTTGGTGGCGAGCTGCTTGCGGGGCGCCTTGCCACCGGTGGACTTGCGGGCGGTCTGCTTGGTACGGGCCATGCTCCTGCCGACGTCGCTGCCTTACACCTGCCAGGAGGAACGTGGGCAGGCGGGGCAGCGGGGAGGGGGTCGCCCCGCTCACACCAAAAAAGGAAAAAATTAAATTAGTAATTAAACGCCTGCCGATCGCGGAATATTAAAATACAGCCTTTTTTTTTGCCCACGAATTCAATATCAAAGCGGCGGCGGCTGAAGCCGAGCGAGCCGCACGGCAGCAGGCGCGGAGAGGCGGCTGTCGCCTCCCCCCCGCCGGCCGCCCGTCACCTGCCAAGTGTTTGCAAATACCGCCCGGCAAACATCGGGGGGCTGGCACCGACCCGCCGCTCCCACCCGCCGGAAAAACCTCCTCCGAAACTGCGGAGCGGGGGCCGGGGGAGCGGCAGCCCCCGCCGGCCTCCCCGGGCTGCCCGGCGCCGCCCGCCCGCGCTGCCCGAGCCGCCGGCGACCGCAGGCGGCCCGGCGATTGTCGTGCGAAAAGGAGAGGGGCCGGATAAAGTGCGAGAAAGCGACAAACTTTGTTTTCGGGGGGTTGTTTTTTGGGTGCCGTCCTTCTCTTTCTGTGTAACTGCTTCCCCGAGAGCTGCCTCGCTCCCAAGCGCCTCTCACAGGCAAACTCGGCTCCCAGAGCCAGAACAAAATGGAAACAATCACGAAACGCAGCCCTAGTCCTTTTGCAAAGGAGGAAAAAATAAATTGCAAAAAATAACGCCAAAAATATCGCCAGGAACTCCAAACCATGCGGGTGCAGATGCAGGGGGAGGCAGCGGAAAAGTTTGCGCTCGAAAACCAAAAAATTGCGTTGCGTTTGGGTCGTTCCTTCGGTGGATTTCTTTCCCTTTTTATTGTTTTTTATGCAATAGGAAAAAAAATATGGTCGGTGACCAGAGAAAAGAGACAAGATGGTGAAGCTGAGCAACAACTGTGGGGAGCAGGGGAAGGAAGGCAGGAGAGTTACCCTGGGCTGGCGAGCGGCTCCGCTTTGCGGCCGCTTCCCGGCCCCGATCCGGGGGCTGTCGGGCTGAGGAGGCAGCTGAGGGGCTGGGGAGGCCGCTGGTGGGGGTCTGGAGCGGGGGCGAGGGGAGCACAGGGGGGCAACGACGGCGCGAAGCGGGGCCGGGGGTGCCGGCGGAGCGAGCCGCTCCGGCTGCGCCGGGAAAGGCGGCGCGGCCGAGGGGAGCCCGAGGCGCCGCCGCCTCCCGAGCCCCCCAAAAGTTTGTGGGGAGGCTCGGGGGGCGGCGGCG